GGCATCTTGAAAATAGATAGAAAGTAAATAGACAAATTAGATAGGACTGATTTAATTAAAGTCAAACGCCCAGCAAAAGACAGAAGCTTTCTCTTCCAAGAAGACAACCTCTTACTCACCTTATCCAGTATAGGGTTCCAAGTGCTCTTCCTCTTAGGGTTGGCCCCTAGAGGCAGTCCTAAAAAGTTGAAAGGTAATTTCTTCGATTGGCAATTCAGTCTTTGAGCTAAACCCAAAATTTCATCTTCTTGGAAACCCACTACGCATACCGCGCTCTTATGATAATTTATTTTTAACCCAGACATCACTTCACAGCACCTCAACACCCTTTTAATGTGTAGCACCTCCTCGTGATCACCTTCACAAAACACTATAGTGTCATCTGCAAACTGGAGGTGAGAAATGCGTAAATCATTACCTCCAACTGAGGCTCCTCTAAACAAGCCCTTCTCTACTGCCCTTGCTAATAAAAGGTTAAGCGCTTCCGCTGCAATTATAAACAAAAAAGGTGACAGGGGGTCACCCTGCCTTAACTCCTTCTGAGGCTGGAATTCTTCTGTAGATGAGCCATTAACCAACACTGAAACCCTGGCTGTAGAAACACAACTCTTCATCCAAACTAACCATTTCTTTCCAAAACCCAGATTATTCATCATCGACCACAGAAATTCCCAATTGAGTGAGTCATAAGCTTTTTCAAAGTCCAATTTTAGAATTATGCCTCTCTTTTTCGATCTTTTCCATGCATCTACAACTTCATTTGCTATTAGCACGCCGTCTAAAATTTGCCTGCCACTCACAAAAGCAGACTAAACCTCGTTGATCACAGAAGGCAACACTCTTCTAAGCCTCCTTGAAAGCACTTTTGCTAAAATTTTATAGACCGAGTTCACCAAACTGATAGGTCTATAGTCTCCCAAGCCTATGGGATTATCCTTCTTAGGAATAAGAACTATGAAAAAGCTGTTAACCCCTCTAGATAGCTTACCATTTTGGTGAAATTCATTCACCATACTAATGATCTCCCCTTTCAAAATTGACCAACACCTTTGAATGCAATTAAGGTTAAAACCATCTGGGCCTGGGGCTTTGTTCCCATCACAATCCTGCACTGCTTCCCATACCTCATCTTCTGAGAAAGCAGCTTCCAGAGTACCAACATCCGCAGAGCTAATAACAGCAAAAGGGCCAAGAAGTTTTGGCCTAAGCTTCCAATTCTCAGAGAACAGCTGACTGAAATGCCTAACCACTTCTTGTTTCACCTGAACCGGATCCTCTACACTCTTACCCTCCATTACAACAAAGTCAAGCAAATTCTTCCTCTGCCTTCTGCTAGCCATGATATGAAAGTACCTAGTATTTTTTATCACCAGAATAAGCCCACATCCGCCTAGACTTTTGATGCCATAGCCTTTCCTTACTTCTACCCAGTTGCCACACCTGGCTCCTTACTTCTCTTCTTCTCATCAGTTCCTCTTCCTCTATAGATCTAGACTCTGCCTTCAAATCCCATTCATGAAGCTCCTCTTCTGCCTTCTTTAACTATGTATCAATATTTCCAAACACAACCTTGTTCCACACCCTTAAGTGGCTCCTAAGCAAGTTTAATTTTCTCATTACTCTAAACCTTGCCCACCCTTGAACTTGAGCTTCCTCCCACCTCTTCTTCACTTCTGACATGAAGGATGGATAAGATAACTAGGCATTGATAAATTTAAAAGGCTTCGGTCCCCAATCCTTGTCATCTTCCTTTATCAGAATGGGGCAGTGATCTGAGATTGACCTTGGGAGACCCCATTGCTTAAATGAAAATTTTTCCATCCACTTCACATCTAACAAAAATCTATCGATCCTACTCCACCTATTCCCATCCATGGCATTACACCAAGTATATTACCTGCCTAACGGAGGCATATCAGTTAGTTCCAATTTTTCCACAAACTCATTGAAATCCTTCATCCCCCTATCTCTAGATAAGCATCCCTTCCTCTCACCCATAAATCTAATTTCATTGAAATCCCCTCTCACACACCACAGGTTTGGAAAATATTGATGAATACCCACTAGAGATTCCCATAACTGTCTCCTCCCAAGAACCTCATTAGGAGCATAGATATTTACAAGAGTACACTAAAAAGAAGAACTAGAGATACCTAATAAAATGATGAAATTTTTTCCACTGCAGCAGCTCTTAAGCTCGAAGATTTGTGGCCTCCATATACACAATAGACCTCCAGCACTTCTCACTGAATCCACCACCATAAATTCCATTTCTTCATAGGGCGAAATTGATTTCACAAAATGATCCTTCATATTTCTTCTCTTAGTCTCCTGAAGAAAGAGCACATCAACATCTCTCTCCCTCACCAATCTCTTTATCTTTCCCCTCTTTTCTGGCCTTCCTAACCCTCTAACATTCCAAGATAAAATCTCCATTTAAACACACTATTGACACCCAATCCCCTCTGGACAGCCATCTAAGCTTCGATTGCCCTACCTCCTCCTCCAATTCTACTTAAATCCTTCTCTTCTAGCTCCACAATTCTGCCCACTACCTCTTCCTCCTTGGTAGTCCATTCCCAACTCGATGCCTACTCTCACAGTTGCCACAGCCTCCTTAAACAGTTGTTTCCTTCTGTTCGCTGCTTGGCTCTGAGAAGTAGAAGTCATTAGGGAAGCTACTGCTTCGACAGAAGCTCTGAGGATAGCTCCCCGTTGAAAGCCCAATCTGCCAAATACACCTTTCTTTCGATCTGTGCCTTTTTTCCATGACTTTCCCCGTCTCTGTGCTACTCCTTCCCTTATAATGCTCCCAGTTGCAGTCCGATGGACCCTGTTTATCTGATTTATTTGATTTGTTTGGGCTTCATCTGGTCTGCTTAAATACTGGGCCATGTTTTCACAAAGTTCCGATCCCAAATCCTGAAGCAGTCCATTGGGCTCAGCCCCTTTCTGCACTCCCTCTATTAAAACTTCCAAGTTTATGCTGGGCCTTGCCTCTGCTAGCCCACTCAGCTCCCTAAAAAGACCCGTGTTGCACCTAGCCTCCTCTCTAATTTGAACTCCACTCATGATTGCCTGGTGGGAGTTGACTACTGCCCCACCCCTCTCACCTTGGGACATGCACCTTCATGGTCATTCCCCACGCTCCTCCCTGCCTCAGCCACTGCATTTGCAAGCTCTCCATCATTATCCTTATCCTATACCTCTGAGCTGTCCATCACTGTCTCCATAACCCTAGTAGGCGCCTCCAGTTCTTCACTCACCATCCCCTCCCTTCCTGTATACGCTACCTTTGCACTCTTGCAAGTTCCACCATTGCCAGACAACTAGTCTACCACTTCTTTGTCGTTGGAATGCAAGCAACCTTGATCTTTACCTCTACTCTCGAAAGAACTTTGAAATAAACATTTGGGCAACTCTTCATAGACTCTAACCGAGATATGACTTCCTTTGTACTGCAGAAAAATTGTTGTATTGATCCACTCCATGCATCTCGTAATCACTCTCACTCTAGTCTGTTGAAAAGTTATAGGATTATTGAAATCCGCTTCGTATTGAACAACCATCCCCGAATTACTACCTATGCTTCGAACTGTCGTGATGCTCCATAAGTTAATGGGGATGCCAAAACAGTTCAACCAGACGAACCTCTCTTGCTCTAAGAACTGGCCTTTGTCCCACTTAGGAATGGCAACGGGCCGGGGCGGGGCTGGGGATGACACCCCCCGTCCCCGATCCCTGAAGGTAAAAACATCCCCGTCCCCGCCTCTGATCTCCGGCGGGGAAGCTATTACCTCCCCTACCCCCGTCCCCTAACGGGGATCGGGTTTCCCCGACTCCGAAAAATCCCCGACTTATCTGTTCACAATACACACACCCACACCAACTATTCAGATCAACAACAATCATCAACAACATTGTTCATCAACAACAACAGACAACAAATCGGTGGCAACAACTTAGATATATATATATATATAACAACTTAGAAAAAAATTAAAACATCAACAAAAGATATATATATATATATAGAGAGAGAGAGAGAGAGAGAGAAAGAGAGGGGGGGCTTCACGGTCACGGTTACGGTTACGGCCCTGGTCCTGTTCAGATCGGTGGCAACGGAGGCTTCATAGACGAGCCATGGTTTAGGATCTGTTCAGATCGGTGGTGGTGGATTTGGATGTTTGCTGAGTGAGTGAGTGAGTGAGTGAGGGAGAGAGATGAGAGAAATGGTGAGACTCAGAGAGAGAGAGAGAGATCTGAGTCACTGAGTGAGGGATCGAGAGAGATGAGAGAAGTCAGTGAGGGAGAGAGAGTTCAGATAGATATTAAGTTGAGTTGAGGTAGATATTGTGCATGTTTGGCAGAACTTAAAAGCAGCTTATTTCAGCTTTCAGCTTAATTTAAGCTATTTTGATGTGTTTGGTTTAGCTTATAGCTTTTATTTCGGGGAGGAAACGGGGCGGGGCTCGGGGACGGGGCCGGGCCGGGTCCGAGGCCGGGAAAGCTATCCCCGTCCCCGGCCCGAAATTAATCGGGGATGTATTTTTTAATACCATCCCCGGCCCGTGGGGAGTATTTTTCGGGGAAAAACCATTGTAATCGGGGACGGGGGGTCGGGTCCCCGTCGGGCCGGGTTTAAATTGCCATCCCTAGTCCCACTCATTGATTGATTCGCACCACTGCTTTCCCCAACCCTGCAACTCTCTCATGTCTTCCTGCATTTGCTTCTCAATGGGAAAAGTTAATAAAACTAATTTGTTTCCCCCCTCTCTTGCAACTACATCCTTTATTCCTCTACTTCTCATTTTCTCTTTGAATGCCTCGAATGCTAAGAAACTGCTCAACTGAACTACAAGACTTTCACTCCCCCACCCATTCCCTTCCTTAAAAGCTTTTAACACCACCCTATCCTTATCCCTGACTTCATCTCTTAGCAAAGCCTCTGCATAGGATTTTTGAACTCCCTTTCCTTTCCACTGCTTTGATTGCACCCACTAATTCTCTTCACGACCTTCATCTCCTCTACTCAGCCCTCTAGGCTTCTCTAGCCCCGCTGACTGTGGCTTTTGATACTCAGCACATTTAACCCTCAGTGCCTTGTTGCCACACCACAAGCCATCTTCCTTCTGTATCGCCACCCTTGCAGCCACCTCATAGTCGTATCTAACAAACCCAAACCTGGAGTTTGAAACTTTCCTCCTCTTCCTAGGGATGAACACATCTTTGACTAGACCAAACTTTCAAAAAAGATTGAACGGGCCTAGAGGATCCATTGATTCAGGGATGTTGTCCACGAAAATTGTGATCAGGACTCCCTCCCTCGACTGTCTACTTTGATTACCCACTATTCTCCTACGAATGACTGATTTCCAACCCCCCCGATCCATCTCCTGTATTTTTTTTAGGTAATCAAGCCAAAATTGGCTCTATTAAATTGCAAGATATATTTGTCTTCTTAAGGATTTAGCTGAAGTTGATTGTCTTACAAACAAAAGATTCGATACCTATAGGGTAGGATACTTTGAACTTGCATTTCTCCACCAACTCAATGCATTGAACTCATGGGTCCATGACATGACAGGTTCCTCCAAATACCAATCTAGTTCCAACTGTGGTTGGAGGCCTTGCGTAGATTGGATGAACTGAATATAATCTGGTAGAAGTTTATAACGATCGTCCAAACTATGATGTTCTTCCTCAATATTTTTGTAAGAATCCTCCTCTATGTCCTCTTCTTCTTCGAACTCAGAAGATGAAGTTGAATCACTTGAAATGTTGTCTCTTTCAGGAAATTTGATGACATAGTTGTTGAAAAGGCTGCAAATGGCCTCCAAAACAGTTGTAACACCTGGGATTCCGTCACTATCATCAAATTTCGAAGAAGAAAACTCCAGATATTTCATCTTGAATCGAGGATCCATTACCATAGTGATCAGCAATACCAAGTACCTGTCCTTCCAATACTTATCAAATTTTTTCAGCATTTTCCTCGTGACACGTTGAATGAAACGATCGGTGCTTGTGGACTTCTGAATCAGTATTGCCTGAAGCTCCCGAAGATGATAAAGATAGGCATTAGCAGTTGGATATTTTGATTCAAATAATGCCACTGTTACCTCATAAATGTTATCCATAGGTTCACATATACTTCTAACCTTTTCACATTCTTCTGCAGAAGGTACTTCATAATTATCCCGCACATCTTGTGAGGAAAACTCACCTCCAGACCCTAATTCCAAAGCATCCTTGTGCTGGGCACTAGTGAGGTACCAAAGTGGTAATGATTTTCCAAAGGAACATAGTTCACAAACATTGTCAATAATATTATTTATAGCTTTATACGCAACTTGCACCATTCGACTAACAATGTCACCGTAACAATGCACTTTGAATAGACAACCATTAAGTTGGAGTTCCGTCTTTCCTTGAATGTGATCCTTAACGATCTCACATGTTTCGCGATACAGATTGTCATTTAACATAGTAATTGTGGATATCTTTTTCTCAATCTCCCAATCTTTCAAAGACTTCAGTATGATTTTGTGAGGTAACTCACTGAACCCATCCCAAATTTGACTAAACCCAAGGATCCACTTCTTCAACTTCCAATTATCGTCAATGAAATAGGCAATTAGACACAGATAATCTTGTGGATATTCATAGCGCTTCTCGTACCTCAGTATGTCAACAGAGAAGCTAATATGTCTATCCAAATTTCTCAGAACTTGTTTAACTTTTGCTTTCACCTCCTCATAAGTTTCCAAGCAATAATGCCCAACATCATCAACACTAAGGCAAACTTTGGGATTAAGGTAGTTATAAATTTTTTTAACATAATAGAACTCTTCAACAGTCTGTGGTGGCAATGCTGCACAACAGAAAAGCTTTGCAATGGCATTATGGGCTTCTTGTTCTTTGAAAGCATTCTTATCATTAAACCGACTCATTTCAGTCTCCCTTAACCCTGATATGGTATTGCTGCCACTAAATTCATAATCCAAATCATTCCCACCAATGGAAAATTCACCTCCATAGTCTCTTTCATAACCCCCTGAACCATCAAACAAAGTGATTGAAACAGATGTCGCATCCAAGTTCCAAACCATAACTCAAATTATTATATATGATGTCAATGATAGTTGAATCAAAACATTTAGATTATACATACATGCATATTATATATGATGTCAATGATAGTTGAATCAAAACATTTAGATTATACATACATGCATATTATATATGATGTCAATGATAGTTGAATCAAAACATTTAGATTATACATACATGCATATTATATATGATGTCAATGATAGTTGAATCAAAACATTTAGATTATACATACATGCATATTATATATGATGTCAATGATAGTTGAATCAAAACATTTAGACTATACATACATGCACATAAATCTGAACTCAGAGATTAGGGGAAACAAAAGACAATCCTACCATAACAAGAGACATAATGGGCATAGTTGCATATATGTATTATATATGATGCCAATGAGAGTTGAATCATAACATTGAGGCCATATATCTACATGCACATTACTTAAAGATTAAGGTAGTTTTTTATATAGTTTGCTAGAATGATTTTGGACATGAATATAATGACTATTCATACACCCTTCAATGGAATGAACATTCTCGAAAAATTGTTGAATAGTAATTCCATTTTAAATGTTCTAATCGTTTCTTTCTACCAAGCCAAACATGAAGATAAATACCATTCCATTACATCCAACCCAAAAAAACAAATCAAGAGAATTTGTTAGATGGACAACATTTGATGTATATATACATGTATATAAAATCCAGATATACGTACATAATAGGCATACATGTTCATATCTATCCTATATGAAGCGAGGTCTTTATACATATATAAAAAAAATAAAAATAAAAATAAAAAATGAAAGTTGAATCACAACACAGTGATTAACTTCAATGTATATATCTTACGAGGGTAAATTACTACCGTTGATTTCATGATCAAAATCATCATCACCATTCATTTCAATGTTGTTAGCATCAACAACGTCCTGATCCTCTGGTATCACTAACAATAGACATCAAACAGTTAAAACCCATTCTCTCATCAAGTGAAAATATAAACATTAAATAAGCGATTCCAATTTTAAAACCAAAACCCAAACCTAAACCCAAATCTCATCTCAAGGAAAACATAAAAACAAAAAAGAAAAAAAACATTTGATTTACATCAGGATGATAATAAACTATAAACATGCATATTTACATGTATATGTACATACATATATACATGCTGAAAAATAGAAGCAAACCTAGTTTCAAGGGGTTTGAGCTAGAGTGTGTGTGTGTGTGTGTGTGTGTGTGTGTGTGTGTGTGTGAGAGAGAGAGAGAGAGAGAGAGAGAGATTTGTAGGGTTTTTGTTGTGGTTATAAGCCTTTGGAAGGAAGGAAGGAATGAAGTGCAATGGACAGAGTCTAGTAGGACTGGGGACGAGACGCGGGAAGAGAGGTCGGATTAAAACCGTCCAAATGGCCGAAGCATTTGATCTGACGGCTCGTCATTCGCTTTGACGAAACAAACATAGAAATTTGGTTAAAATCACCTTATAATAAAACTTTAAAAGTATACCACATATTATTATCAAAATATTAAATTTTAAAATAATATAAGTTTTTATTTAAATATCAATTTTTAATAAAATTAATATTTTAAAATTTTTTTTATTAAGATCTATCAAATAAGATCTATGTTGATTATGAAATTTTTAGGAAAAGAAATTATACCATCGAAATTAATATAAATAGTGACATGTTACTTTGGTAATATTATTCAAGAAAAAAAAAGATATTTTAATTTGTCCTCACTCAATTATGTGCCTCCTCCTTAGAAAGTTTATGAAACAAAATAAATTAGGTTGTCTTTTTCACCAAACAAGAGTCCGCTAGAAAAATTTTGGCTAAATTTTCCAATACAAGGTAAATATATCTCATCATTGTTCAAAAAAAAAAAAAAATGTAAATATATCTCATCAGTATTACCATTCAATTAATTCTTATCAAATTACATTGAATAATGCTATATGCATAAATTAACATATTAATAGATGATGTGACATAATTTTAAAAATTTTGAGGTATCTAAATTCCTTTTTAGTCCTAACTGATTCAAATCCATAACTAAGTAATTAGTTGTATCAGCGAGTCAAGTCTTTGCCAGCCATATGTACTACAAGTCAAAAGCCATGCTCAACCGGTGGTAATGGGGTAGGAAACTAATCTGCAGCACAAACAACTAACTCTGATTTGGAGGATACCATAAACTTGGTCCAAGTCACCAAGCTCGGACAATTCATCACATCTTGCTTATATATAATGAGTACATCTTCCTAAAATTCCCCCCCACAACTTATGATTTTATACATGTCTTCAAGCATGTGTTCTTCCTTCGACTTCCTTCAACTCACATGTGATCCTAAAATATGATAAGTTTGGCCTTCCATAACATCATGTGTGATTCATGATACCATCTAGCATAGCTAATAGTTCTTGGTCATCATAACACAGACTTGAGATCAAATCCCACCTTCGTCAGAACCACATGAAAACTAAAACCATGATATATGGTTTGAGAATCACAAACATTCATTTTCTCATAATCATAATTGAAGAATTCCTAACATATTATATATCAACCATGCCTTCATCTATATGCTCAAGTTATAGTTTCAGACAAACCTGATAAATATGTGAATTAACCTCAGCACAAGTTTGATGTAAAGTTTCAAGAGGTGCACTACTAAGCTCAAATTGGCCTCTTGGTTCCAGTGATATGCTTTGGTCCCTGCATGATCGTAATGTGAAGTCTGCGAAGTTGCTCGCCAAAAATACACCAAAAGCAAAAGGCAAAACTTGCTACAACAATGAATTTTTTTTATTGCTTTTGAACCAAAAAAATAAAGCATCATCGTCCATAAAGAAGTAATGCATGAACCAGAAAACGGTTAAAAACTTTCCAAGTATTTAGATAAGAATTTTTTATTTTTATTGGAAAAACAAGATAGAAGAGTCTCTACCTATTTGAGTTCAATAATGTTGTCACCCTCCATTATTTTATCCCAGTCAAATCTCTCAGCAATACCATTGAACAACTCTGCTATCTGTTCGTACTTCATGGGCCTTAAAGTTTCACTCTCAAAGCCAAACTTTTCATGTTCTGTACCTATTCTGCAGAATCCACATTATGAAGTTCACAATTCAAAACAAGATAGAGAAAAAGATTCAATTACCAATAGTAATTGGATTCTGAAATTATTTTGCGACACCAGAAAATGGAATTGGAATCTGCAAACAGGTCCAGAATAAACAGTAATTGATGTGGACAATGGAATTCAATGTTTAGTCAATTGCAAAATCGGAGCTTCATGTCCAGGCAACCAAAATACCTCCTAGGTTCATTTCATTTTTATTAAAGTTATTAGCCAACCATGTGATCTGGTAAGTTAGAAGTTAATCAAAATAAAAAATAAAAACATCAACGTATCTTCAAGTACAATATACAACAAGAGATGCCACCTGAATCTAAGTACCAATGAGAGCTAGAAGTTGAACCTCCATTTCTCCTTAGGCTTGCACCTAGAAGCAAGGTGTGCTACAAGATCCTTTTTCGTCAATGGCTCTGTAGCAATCACAGCATCCTCTAGGGGGACTTGCATTGACAATTGTCGGTGTCCTCATTTGTACGATACTCTTGCACTGTCTAAATGTAAACCATGCATTGTCGTTGCATAATTCGATAATAAGGATGGAAAACTTGTGCAAGTTTCCTTAAATTTGGATGCCTCGATACCTCTCCCTATGTTGAAAACAAGACTGTAGCCCACTTTAGATCTTTTGTTCTCAGAATGAATGCAGTGTGATGGACCCACCTGGGACAGATGCGCCATGTTGTGCCCCTGCAAAATCATACACAATCTCTCTGTTAACAACTCATTAAGCCAAAACTATGCACAATCAGTTCACCAACAAGAAGTACTTTCAAATTCATTTTCAGCAAATCATGATAAACGCTAATGCTCTATTTGGTTCATTGGAATGAGATGGAATGATCATTCATTTCCTATGGTGAATAATGATTCCATTTATAATGTATTTTTCATTAATTATTTTTTGATCAACCAAACATGGGGATGAATATTTTGAGGAATCATCATTACATTCCACAATATTCCAGTGGACCAAACACTATCTAATCGAACTAGGTAGTGAAATCATTCAATTGAATTTGGTTTAACAGTTATTCACATCACAAAGACAAACTAAACCCATTAGCCCAATTTACAACCACCAAATAAAATGGGCTAATTATACTGGTGGTCCCTACATTTTATCTCGTGTCATTTTAGTCCTTACACTTTCAATGGACTCAATTTTAACTCTTAATTTTAGATTTTTGTGTCAATTTGGTCTAATTAGTATTGTCGTTGGTGCTTTTGATGAAGAGTTAAGTAAGTTTATAATTTTGTCCTTAAGAAATATGACACATGCCAGCTATGTGTGTATCTTTCATAATAATTATTAAAAGTTGTAAGCAATTTGACTATTTTAATTCAAGGTCAAATTATTTATCAAAAAAATAAATAAAAAAATTGAATTCAAGGTTAAATTGAGTCAATTGAAATTACATGGACTAAAATGACACAAAAACTAAAGTACATGTACTACGGTCATAATTTTCCTAAATAAAATTAAAATGGCAATGTGAAGTTCACAAGTTAGTCAAAGACCTCAAATTCTAGCAATACGAATTCAGTGGTGCCACAACCACTCAAATCAGGGTTGGGGGTCGGGTTCTTGTCGGGTCGGGTTCATATTGCCATCCCTAATCTACAACCACAAACCAAAAAAGTGCATGAATGTTGGGTAAACAATATTCCTCTTTTGCCAATATGGATTTCAATTTAAGTTTGTATGACTTTTGAAGCACAACCACTATCAATACAGAATTTTTTGGCACAACACAAAATGAATTTGAGTTTCGCTTCCTGAAATTTTGCCGTCAAAACATTTTGTCAATAAAACAAATGGGCAGGATCTTTCCCAGTTTGAGATTAGATTGAAGCGTGTTGTTAGGCCTGGGGAGGCCCACCACAAGTTCTATTTCGATAATCCGAATTGTTGACAAAATTTGATCTGATCAAATAGATATCGATATCCAATCAACGTAATTTTTTATAAAGATAGAGTACTTGACGAGTTCTTTATCAAAAGAAGATCCATGGTGGGCTCTATAGACCCAACAACACCATTTAGACAAGACTGGCCCAAAACAAATATACAAGTATACAAGAATTTAGGCTTGTTTTAAAAAGTAGGATAAAAACTAATTTTTGATTTTTTTTTTAAAAATGCATAAAAAAGTAAAGAAGAGATGTGACCCAAAAAAATCAAAAAAATTAAGAGTAATGCTAGGAACGTTAAATATTTTACCAACATTTCTACCAAATGTCTCATATGGGTGTGGAACCCACACGAGACTCATATAGTGTGGGTCACACACCCATGTAAGACATTTGATGGAAATATTAGTAAAATATTTGAGGTCCTTAACATTTTTTAAAAATAAAAAATTACTTTTAACCATATTCCCAAAACAAGCCTTAATTGATTTGGTTAAAGTATACATCAACTGGCAAATGAGGTGGCTCTCTCAACAACTCTCTGTCACAAAAACTCTGAAGATCATCAACTTCATAATCCAAAAATAATCCCTTAAATACCAAGATTTGAAAAGTTATAAATGAATTCAAAATAGAGGGACGTTTTGGCAAGTTGGTAAAAAATAAGCTTTTTGGTTTTTTGGTTTTTTTTAGGTCACATCAGTTATCTACTTTTTTATATATAAAAAAGCCAAAAAGTCACAAAAAGTCAACTTTTTACCAACTTTCTAAAACACCACAGAGATTCAAAATACACAAATGTTAGGTCTGACCAATCGATCGGAGCAACAACATTATTATGAGGTGTCTTATATTTACTCTATAATACTACAAAAGATATTGTTTGAAAGCCTTTATGGGATCCGAGGACAACACTCCAAAACTCAAATATTTTTTTCTAGATTTTATATGACACAAATAAATAACAACGCCCAATTAGTACACATTAATGTATGTTTGGGAGGGAAGAGATTGAGTACACACCTAAATAATTTGTTTGTTAGGGGAAAGATTTTATTTGTTTATTTGAAACAAATAAACAAATAATTTAAATTAAAAATAAAAAATTCAAAATTTATTTTGTTATAATAATTAAACTTTAGAGTTTTTTTATAATTTTTCTTACTAATTTTTAACTGTAAGCACTGAAGTCAGTTATGCAGACGGGTAGTACCCAAAATCAACCCGACAAGACCGAATACACTCGAATCCACCTAATTGGATCCGAATATGAATCGGGCTCTCTCTCTCTCATCACCAAATTCCGATTTCGTAGCTTGTTCTCTTTGTCGCGACGGCGACGAACTTCTTATCCGGCTCTGGCAATGATGCAAGGCTGATTTTCTACAAACTTTTGATTTCAGACTTAACGTTCGTATTTCGGTCTCAAGGTTAGGTTTTCAATTTTTTTTTTTTTTTTTTTTTGTTGTCAGTTTTCATTATGGTTCATCATAAGCAATTGAAAGCCTTATTGCTTGTTAGTTCTCTGTAGATTACATCTTGAGAATAAACTCTGATTTTTGTTTATCAAGTGCCATGGTTTATGCATTGAATGAGTTGGATAATCAAAGTATCCAAATTTCGATTTTAGGGTTTGTTTGGGTGGTTGTGGATTTAAAATCAAGGGATTTGAGGTTGGATTTTATAAAAATATTGGAGACTTAAAGTTATTATAAGTGGATAGAAGAACTATGGAAGAAGATAAATTGAGATTAAAAAATGTACTTGGGTAGTATCATTGTAGCTAGAAGAAGAATTCTTTAGAATGATTTAAAATAACTACTTTAAATCCATCATGATAAAACTATCTAATTTAACTTTGACATTCATAGATGAATTATCAAACTTAAATGCATTTTAAATTCCTAAATTCAAATGGAACCTTACTATTTTTGTTAGTTGTGTTTGGCATGAAAGAATGACTGTATGAATAGCATTTTGCTAAAAAAAAAAAACACAGATTGGATTTCTGTGTAAAGAGGATTTAGATTCAGATTGAGATTATCCGATTTGATGCATTTGGATTCAAATGAATATTTAATTGAGTTGGGGTCTGATTTTTCCACATATGATCCGAATCTGAGACGTTGACTGGCCTGGCATTGATCATTCTATTTTACAAGTGGTATTATTACTTTAGCAATGCAGAGCAAACGTCAACCAAAGTGGTTCACTTATCGTCGTTCATGTAAGCTCTCGCCTTCTAAGTGTTCGAAAAAATTCCAAGAGAAGCACCCCAAAAACAAAGTGCAAGAACATGGGCAAGAAGGGAGCAAACAAGAAAGCACCCAATCTTACTTCTGGATCTCAGGCTTTAATCACACTGAGAAAAGAATCTAGGGGGAAGAAACAGCCCAACGTCAATGGGAAGTTCATGTTGAAGTTAAAGCATCTACAGAACCTCACAGTGTGGGCCAGTGGTGAAGCCTCTATACCTTCTCTAGGTGCCTTTTTCGAGCACCAATTGGCGAGTCCCTGGGGTCATCACCTAACCCATCATTGTTTCCTTGTCAGAGGTGCAACTAATCTCTCTCTCTATATATATATATATATGTGTGTGTGTGTGTGTGTGTGTGTGTGTGTGTGTGTCTATGTGCCCCATGCATGCGTCTGATGTGTTTGTGATTGCATGTTGGGTGTTTTATGCTATTTGAAACAATTGGAAACATGGGATTTGATCAACTAGAGGAACCATAGTAAAGACACTGGTTAAATCCATTTATACTTGATTGTGTTTTCGTAGTTGTATGTATTTGTATAGATTGACTAAGTATTTGTGGTATTAGTATATTGACTAATGCTAGACCTTCAAATTGATATAAAACATGTTCGTTATGTTATGGAGTGATTGGTTTGCTCAACCTTTCTCAAGATGGTGTTATTCTTCTTTTGGACTTTTTTGCATATCAAATAATGTTTGCAACTTTGTAAGCTGCAACAACCCATAGATAAATGAAGAATGGTACATTAGAGAAGCTAGGTATGTTAGTTTTGCACAAATGTATGTACCTTGTAGAGGATGCCTTATCCTCATTTCTTCCTTTTAATTAGTCAATAAAACTAATTTTGTTGTTGATAAAAAATAAAAAAATAAAAAATTTATGTACCTTGTATTAGAATCTTTGGTAAGTTGAATGCATGGCCAGTAATGGCATCTTTATGGCTCAACTGATCACAAAGATAGAAAAATGGTGGTTCCTAGAAGGTGTTAGACCACTGGCTACACAATTATGCGATTGTGGTTCCTAGCAGTGAATAGATTACTGATCACATGTCAATACATGATTGTTCCTGGTAGTGGAGAGGCTACTAATCATATGTCAAGACGTGATGATTCTTAGTAATGTAAGAGTCTACTGATCCTATGTCAGAACGTTGTGATTCCTAGTAGTAAAGTGACTACTGATCATAGGTTAAAACATTGTGATTCCTAGTAT